AATGAACATTAAAGAAATAAAAGAAAATATTTCATAGAACTGAGGAACAGTCATTGTTGAGGTTGTGAGCAGTTAAGGAATATACAACTATAGCAGTCAGGTCTATATCCAGTCACCAGCTTTTGTCTGCTTTATGCCCGAAATCTCTCTCATCTCTTCCCTTCTATCAGTATACCTACCACTTGTGTGAATCATCTCCTGCTTGCATTTGCTAAGCAGTAGCCTGTATTTGTAAGCCACACACCTGATACTGTGTTCCCTTGCTTAAAACTCTTGAGTGCTCCATAATTTCCAGTCACTTAAAGACCAAAACCTGGCCTTTTGAGTCACAGGCACATGGACCTTTTCTCAGGTTTTTGAAAATATCAAGAACCTCCCTATCCCCGGATTTCTGGAATACTAGTCTCTCTGTATAGAGTGAATATTATTCTACTTCCTTTCTTTATGTAACTAATTCCTCCTTATCCTGAAGAATTCAATTCCAGTGTCTCTTACCCCAAAGTATCTCCCTGGACCCCTAACCCCACTCCAGGAATAGGTCATGTACCACAGTTACAGTTTCTGAAAATCTGTATTTATGGCCCTTTCCCATTGTAAATGTGTTAATTATATAATTAAGTTGTTTCCTCTGCTAGAACTAAGTTGCAAAAGAGCATGGACTTTGCCACTTTATTCCCAGCATCTGACAATATCTAGTACATAGTGCTTGATAAATGTTTGTCAGACTAATAATTGTTATTCTGCCATAACAGTTAAATATTCTAATTAAGGGTATTTCATTCCCATATCCCATCAACTTTAAGAATTAGATAAGAGTACACTTAAAACTATACCAGATAACCCATGCTTTATTATTATTTATTTTTTTAATTTTTTTTCCAGACAGCATTTTGACAGCTTTCATTGTCTATAGGTCTTTAAAATGTATATCATTAGACCAGATGAATCAGTTAATAAAAATGTCAGGTACAGAATTCTGGACGGTGAGTTTGCTGCATACCTTTTATACAAGTTTTGGAATATTCTTGGTGTATGGTACCGACTTGTGAAACATTCACACAGTGATCAATTTTTTCAGTACCTTCACAGAAGAAATAAACTGAGTTCCCAATATATAACTGCATTAACTCAACAAATATCTGTTGCTTTAGGTGACCCAAGAAAAAAAGCAAGGGAGATCAAGGAAGGGAGTGATCCATAAGTTCAGGGCAAGATAGTGTAGCTTAGCCTAGAATGGTGGTAGTGGGGGATGGTAGGTGGATTCAAGAGGAATTTGGTAGTGAAAGTTACAGGACTCAGTGATGGATTGGATATGAGATTCGGCGGGTGGCGGTGGGGGGGGGGGGGGGGGGGGGGGGGGGTTACCTTAAGCAGCCAAGAGATGTCATGTTGCTATTTACTTAAACTGAGATAACTGCAATATTACAAGATTTTTTAAATGTTCCTGAAATAATTATTTTGGTTAAAAGCCAAAGGCAGATAGATTCGATAAAAACTAATTATCTTAATAAATTCTTTTCTCACAGAGAGCATTTGACTACTTCAATTTAGCAGCCAATGCTGGCAATTCACATGCTATGGCCTTCTTGGGAAAGGTACTGTATGTCTTGTGAACATATTATGTAACAGCAAGAGGTGTTTGCATAATAAGCACATGTTGTATTTAGGATCTACAGTTTACCAAAAATAAAGTGGAAATGAGGTTTCAATACAAGGATGTTGTGTCTTGTGGCAAAGTAAGAAAAACTTCCTTTTTCGTTATTTTGAAAACAAATACAGTATAAACCAATGGGTATTTCATCTATAACAAATCCTAAGGTTAGGATGCTCAGAATAAATATGTCACAGAAATTCTTGCAAATAGAAAAATCTCAGCAGTGTTTGCCACATAATTGCAGCAAGTTATTTGGGGCCTGAGAACTTTACATTCAGACATCCCATCTATTGTAGCATAGAAATTGGTATTCCTCATATATTTTTGTTTAAGCATTAATTTTCTATTCTTCTTTCTTTTGACCCTTTCGTCATGTTCCATACGTGGTACTCTGATCATTCAGTGTTTGAAACCTTTTAGTTCTTTCTTTTCCTGAACTTAAGACCTACCCTTTATCTTACCCTGGGGACAATAGTGGTGGAAGAGAAATGGAAGCAGATATTGGTAATAACACTCCTTTTTTTCTCATTTAATCACTGATCCCAAGCAATTTATCAACCACTTGACTGCCTTGGGATAGAGTGAGAGAAAAGATTCACCTTGAGTTAAAGATTCCCCTCTTGAGATTGATCCGTGAGCTGATTTTAATGTATTCATATTTATAGAGAAGTCATAATGTGATATGACAAAGAATATATAATAATGCTAAAATTTTTACTTTTAATGCTTTGCTTTTAATTCTAAAATATCCTGTGGGGAATTTTAAACTTTGTTGAAAGATTTCATGATCTCTCACAAACACCAGAATGAGATGAGCTAGAAATACATTATAGGAGAGACGGTTATAGCTCGTAATAAAATTAGCCTTTGTTTTGTAGATGTATTCAGAAGGAAGTGATATTGTCCCACAGAGTAACGAGACAGCTCTTCACTACTTTAAGAAAGCTGCTGACATGGTAAGATCTCATGACTTACCATATTGAAATGTGTGCCATATTATTATTTTAGTAAGTTTATTATACTGAAGGATTAGTCATAACCAACTCATGCCTCAAATTATTGAAAGCACCTGTGATTTGTGTGAATGGATTGGCTAGAAAAAAACATTCCCAATAAAAGGCATTTTATTGGTTGGGCGGGGTGGATAGAGAAGACCAAATTATTGAATATTAAGCCTCTGTTTCAATTTCATTGAGAAGTTTCCTGATTAAGGAAATACTGATTTTAGTAATGCAATTGAAAGTCATATAATCTATCCTATTTGTATTGCAATTTGAGGCTTAAAACTTACACAACTAGGTACTTTCAATAATCTTAAATACATAATTTAGACTTTCTTTGGCCCAGAGAAAACTACATATGAATTTTTAAGACCCCGTATGCCTCCAGTGTGTGTACTTATCTTCTTGCCAACTACATGTTACTTTAGTTCTAAATGTCAGTTGAGTATTTCCCAAAGGAGTGCTGTGACACTTTTTAAAAGATGCCTCTGTCCCTATTAGTTTAGATTGAATTTTAGATTTTTCTCTTGCAGGTCCCAAAACAGTGATTATCTTTGTTCTGTGAGACTCCAGTAACCTTTAGCATATCTTTGCCACCTGATCCCAGTGTTGCTTTTTACCTGGTTGTTGACTTGACACCATAGCATCTTCCTTCTTTATTGGGGAGGGTGATTACCAATGAAAAACTACAAAAAAAAAGTGATATACTTTTTGGGATGCCTGGGTGGTTCATTTGGTTAAGCGTCCAACTTGTGCTCAGGTTGTGATCTCACAGTTCATGAGTTCAAGCCCCGCATCAGACTCTGTGCTGACAGATCAGAGCCTGGAGCCTGCTTCGGATTCTGTGTCTCTCTCTCTCTCTCTCTGCCCCTCCCCCACTTGCGCTCTGTCTCTCAAAAATTAATAAACATTTAAAAAAACAAAATAAAATACTACCTATTAAAAAAAGTGTTTAAAAAAGTGACCTACTTTTAGTTTAATAAAAAAGAAACACATTAGTCATGTTTTCTATCATAACTCATGGAACAGATGGTCATAAGTCACCAAAATTTAATTCTAGATAAATTTACTATTTGCTCTTTTTCCGCAAATTATTGACCCCCAAATCTCTAAAAGTCAGCATTACATTTAGCCTGATGGGAAGGAGAATTTTGAATTGAAAAATGCAGTGACGGGGCGCCTGGGTGGCGCAGTCGGTTAAGCGTCCGACTTCAGCCAGGTCACGATCTCGCGGTCCGTGAGTTCGAGCCCCGCGTCGGGCTCTGGGCTGATGGCTCAGAGCCTGGAGCCTGTTTCCGATTCTGTGTCTCCCTCTCTCTCTGCCCCTCCCCCGTTCATGCTCTGTCTCTCTCTGTCCCAAAAATAAATAAAAACGTTGGAAAAAAAAAAAGAAAGAAAGAAAAATGCAGTGACATTTTTTGAATATGTTTGTAAATTATTTCTTTTGCATTCATTTATTCTTGCCTAGTTTCTTAATGAATCCATTCACCCTTTTTTCTCGGTTTGCAGGGCAACCCAGTCGGTCAGAGTGGACTCGGAATGGCTTACCTCTACGGGAGAGGAGTTCAAGTTGTAAGTTTTCAGTGTAACATTCTGACTTAAACAAGCAGTCAGCTGGTGAGTTGGAGAAATATAACTAGCTTCCAGCCTGGGTGAAATCGTTTCTTTATAACCAGAGCTGAACCTTTTCCTGTTCTCTGACTTTGGCTGCTTACCACCCTTCACCCCGCACCTGCCATATGACTGCCTTCTTCAAATAGCTCTGTCTCTGGCACCTTTTCTAAAGGTGTGAAGCTGCTTCTCATTCTTCTGTCTATGCTGTCTACTCTCCAAGACTTAAGCTTCTCCCTCTCTACTTCTTCACTCAAGGCTAAGAAAATGCTTGTCCCTCCCATTTAGGAGAAAAGCTTTCTGTTCTATTCTTTGCTCTTCTCTTCTCTCCAGTCCTTCACTGCAAAGCCAGGTTTCTCCAAAAAATGAACTATTAGTGGCTACCACTCACTCATTAGCTCTTAGAGTTAGGCTTCTGCCTCACGTAACTGCTCTATGCAGATCACCAGTAACCTCCTAAGGGTCAACACCTGTTGACTTTTTGGCTCTACATCACTTGAACTCTTTCCTCCCTGGAATTCTGCAAGTTCTCTTGCTTTTCCTAAGCCATTGCTTCTTATTCTTCTCTACTACTTCCTCATGGTTGCCCCTGGATTCTCAATGCTGTCCTCTTCTCTTCACTTTATGAACCCTCCAAGTAGTATGTTTTTAATTGGGCCTGAAACTAAGCATTAGGTTTAAGATTCTAATCTGTAGGTGTTTCCTAGCACAGAAACCAGTATAGCGTGGTCTCATTTTGATTCTTTTTAGTCATTTTAGGACACTAAAGTTCAGTAGTGATCTTTTAGTTTCTCTCTGTGGATACGTAGGGTATTTGAAATCTAATAATCATATAGTGCTTGATAAGTTACACAGGAAAAGAATGAATAAAGAGAATAATTTTCCTTATTTAAGGAAATCAGAAAAATTAAGGTTTAGAAAAGATTTGTCGGTTAATAGGAAAGATTGTTTCTTAAGTCCTGATCTTGTGTTACACTGGTGATGTGTATGCTTTCTGAGAGTGAGCACAGCAAATTGTTTCACAAAAACTCTTACTTGCTTTTCTTTAGTCTTAAATATTTAAGTCCCTCTGTGACTTAAAGTAGACTACCCTCTGTATATTATGAAAACTTAGAAGGTAGGCTTTTTAATGGCTCTTTGAGAATATCCTCTATGTGTTTTGTTGACTCTTTTTAATAAATGAATCTCCTAACTTCTAAGTATATCAGCCTTTTGAGCTTTCTTATCATGTGATCATGTGACCTCTTTTCCTACAGAATTATGATCTGGCACTAAAGTATTTCCAGAAAGCTGCTGAACAAGGCTGGGTGGACGGGCAGCTGCAGCTTGGCTCTATGTACTACAGTAAGTAATACTGGAATTAAATGCTTCATCCACCAACATCAAAATTGCCTATTTTCCATCAGATACCACTTTGATGTGGAAACGAGAGCTGTCGCATTCGGGCTGATTAATGTTCTCCCATTTCAGTAATTTGTGCATCTTGTTTTTCATGGTAAATTAGGTTCATCTGTATTAATATACAAATCTGTATTGTTAAGGTTCCCATCTTTCCTGAGTAAGAATTCTGAGTTTCATTTGATTTTACTCATTATATAAGGCTGCTCTCATGCTTCAGTTAAATCTTATTTAAAACTATTTCTGACCTTTCATGTTATTTTCCTTACAGATGGCATTGGCGTCAAGAGGGATTATAAACAGGCCTTGAAGTATTTTAACTTAGCTTCTCAGGGAGGCCACATCTTGGCTTTCTATAACCTAGCACAGATGCATGCCAGCGGCACAGGTGTGATGCGATCGTGTCACACGGCAGTGGAGGTAAGGGCTGTTCTACCAGCTCGTACACAGGAACTTCATTTTCCCAGGAGGAAAGTCTATCGTTTTAATTCTCGTTTTCTTTGCATGATTTCTTCTACAGTAGAAAGAGATTCGACCTAATAGCTTGGATACACTGAGGGAAGACACTGAGAGTCTGTGTGTCACCCTCATGCTTATTTGTTTCATTTGGGTCTCCACGTTTGTAAGGACAGTGGATGTTGTCTGCAGTCTCTCTAGCAGCTCCTAGACAGTATCTGAGCACCACGAGGTCTGTGTCGAATGAATGTTGCAAAAGGCAATGCCGATGTCTTCTAAATGGAACTTTTCCTCTTTAGCTCTCTCATAACTGGCACTGCAGAGTGGCATTTGCTAAATGCTTAGCACAGTTTCTAAACCTCTCTGTGTTTCAGTTCCCTCGGTTGTAAAATGGGCCTATTAATAAGACTTATTTCATAGAGTGTCCCCCATGAACCTCATGGGAGCTGTAAGGGAGTTTCTGTACGTACTGTACATAAAGCACAAGAACAGTGCCTGGTGGGGGTAATAGTATATAATTGTTTACTATTATTTTTATAAACCTGCTCTAAAGACTAACTGAAATCTTCAAGTAAATATCCCAGACTTTTATATATATTTAATAAAGTTGCCAGAGATTCAAAGAGGTAGCTTAATAATCAATCACTTGTAGCCAAAGTGCAAAAATGATATTCTGGCATATGTTCCTTGTTTTGTTACTGGTTTTTTGTTTTTTTTTTTTTTTCCTGTTCTCACAGTTGTTTAAGAATGTGTGTGAACGAGGCCGGTGGTCGGAGAGGCTAATGACTGCCTATAACAGCTATAAAGATGGCGACTACAACGCCGCGGTGATCCAGTACCTCCTGCTGGCCGAACAAGGCTATGAAGTGGCACAGAGCAACGCAGCCTTCATTCTCGATCAGAGTAAGGTTCACTTTCATTCTGCCTTGGGTTTAGACTGTGAAGGCTCACGTCAGGTAGCTCATTTTTGTTTTAAAGAGAAAACCCACAAAGAAACTTCTTTATTGTTGTAAGTAGACCTTAACATCGCACACGCTGGAGTACTTTACCTCAGCTCCCTAAGCCATCAAAGTTAGTTTTGCAATTAGCGTTGATGTAGAAATCAATTTGCCATTTTTCACAAAATTAACTGCTTTCAGTAAACACATTTTTCAAAATACAGCAGATAGAAGAACCTCATTTTTCCAGTGGTCTGTAGATCCCTAGAAGTGGCTCCATGGTTACTGTCCGATTAGTTCTGTGGATAAAACACGTTGCAGAAAGTAGTGTTGTCCTGCTTACAGTGATTCTTTTGAACTCGGTATTTCCTTCTAATACTTGTTTAATTTCAATACAATACTTTGGTCATTTAATACTTGTTATATCCCAGTTATGCTCCACATATCCACCCTAGCTTGTAAATGAAGCCTAAAAGTCTAGTGCCTTTCCTTAAATGCCTAAGTTGTATTTATTTCATCTTCCCTGTAGGAGAAGCAACCATTGTAGGTGAGAATGAAACTTACCCCAGAGCTTTGCTGCACTGGAACAGGGCTGCCTCCCAAGGTGAGTAGCCCACTCATTCTAGGGCAAGAGTTTCACCCAGGGATCTTTCTGTACTGTTTTTGTTTTGTTTTTGAATCTCCCATAAAAACTAAATAATGTCATTCATCAACATACTAACTGTTGCTTAAGTTGCATCGTGATTTATCTATTCTTAAAACGGAAGTTCTAGTCACAGGGTTTCTAAATTATTGAATTGTGATTGGTCATTTATATCACGTTATGGTTTATTCTTTGATTTTTTGTTTGAAGCCAGTTATATTGCATAAAATGAAAATCACATGGAATATATAATAAAATATTAGTCTAAAACCCAAAAAGATTTCAACCTTTCCCCATCTTTTTTTGTTTGACTATTTTATTCTCACACATACTCCTCTCAACAGTGCCTGGCTATCCCTTCTTCAAACCTAAACAATGGTCCAGTTGAACTACTTTAAAATGTAAATGGCAGAATATTACTCAGCCATCAAAAAGAATGAAATCTGGCCATTTGCAGTGACATAGATGGAGCTAGAATGTATTAAGCTAAGCAAAATAAGCCAACCAGAGAAAGATAAATACCATATGATTTCACTCGTATGTGGAATTTAAGAAATAAAACAGGTGAATTTATGGGAAGAGGGGGGCAAAGAGAAGAGAAGGAAACAAGCCACAAGAGACTCTTGGCGATAGAGAACAAACTGAGGGTTGATGGAGGCAGGTAGGTGGGAGATGGGCTAGATGGGTGATGGGCATTAAGGAGGGCACTTGTTATGATGAGCACTGGGTGTTGTATATGATGAATCACTGAATTCTACTCCTGAAACCAACATTGTACTATATGTTAACTAACTAGAATTTAAATTAAAAAAAAAAGGAAAAGAAAGTATAAATGGCATGATAGACTAGAACATGCTCATTTGAAGAGTACTGTTGTGACATGGGGAGTACCACCCACCTTGTTATACCTCTCCCTGTTGCAAAACCTGCTTCAGAAGAGCAATACCTCTAGTTTCAATCTTTATTGAATTTATAGCTTGGCTGAAGGATTTGTTATAAAGTTTACATACTACCAATTAAAATTGTGTTTTATGTAAGTAAGCATGTTAACAGTAGGAGAAACAACAATTTGGTCCGTTTTAAACGCACTTTATTTACTGGCAGTTTTGCATTTAATTTTTGTTTAAGGCTATACGGTGGCTAGAATTAAGCTTGGAGACTATCATTTCTATGGATTTGGCACTGACGTAGACTACGAGACTGCGTTCATTCATTATCGTCTGGCATCCGAGCAGCAACACAGTGCACAAGCCATGTTTAATCTGGGGTATATGCACGAGAAAGGACTGGGCATTAAACAGGTGAGGCTGGCTTCAAAACAAATGTTAGAATGATGTAATTGTGATTTGGGGGAAACGTCTGCATTTATTTCTAGAAAATAGGCTTGCTTTTGGAATGTGCTCCGATTTTAGGTACTAAGTTATGAGGCAGTTTTGTAATATTTCAGAAGCCCGCCCTTGCACCTCTCCCATCGTCAGACATACGCATGTTGCTGTCACATGCACACTGCTTTATGTACGATAAGCCAAAAGCAGAGTCGTGGAAATGGAAATATGGTGCTGCCTCAATCAGCAACTCCTTGTTTGAGAAACTATCTGTCCATCTTCAGCCAAATTCTGTTCTTTTTAAAGTATTTTGAAATGAAGTAAGATGTTTGCTACTGACAAACGTATTTCTGACTCTTATACCTTCCTAATGGAGTCTAACATTCTTTAGAGCCATGGTCTTAACTTTTTGCCTATATGCCCTTAAGAGAATTTTGAACAACTGTGTTTTGTCCTGCACATTTTTATTTATTTTAATTTTTTTTTTGTTTTTAAATTAGGGTGAGCTCAAACAGGGGTAGAGGGGCAGAGGGAGAGAGAGAGAAAATCCCAAGCAGGCTCCACACTGAGTGTGGAGACCAACGCAGGGCTCGATCCCATGACCCTGGGATCATGATCTGAACCAAAATTGAGAGTAGGACACTCAACCGACTGAGCCACCCAGGCACCCCTTTCCTGCACGTATTTAATTTGACATTTAAAATTTTTCATCATAAGCTTCAGAAGCTCTGAGTTCTACCTATTTTAAGCATCAACCCTTTTTTTTAAATAAATTGACTAAGTTACTCCAAATACCAAAACGTTGATACCCTCATCATTAATTCTTTTAAAAACACAGCAAATTTATTAAATGAAAATTGTGTCTTTTCCTTTTCTTCCTGAATTCATATTTTCAAGTCATTGTTTTCATAGATTTGCATGTAAATGTAATGTTTTTAATGCTTAGATATTTTACTGATCAATCATACTTACGTGAAACAAAGTATGTAAATTCAAATTTTGAATTTTATTTCCTATGATTATAGGCTCTAAGTGTTAAGAAAAATTCATAAGATACTAGCCATAGTTGGTTAATTATCAATACAATATTGAACAAATCAACATAACACTGTGAATTTCAGTAAAATTTTACTTTCTGTGATAATTATTAAAAATGCATTTTTTAATGAGTTGAATGGAGCATCTTTTAAAAATTAGTTTAGGGGCGCCTGGGTGGCTCAGTCGGTTGGGCGTCCGACTTCAGCTCAGGTCACGATCTCGCGGTCCGGGAGTTCGAGCCCCGCGTCAGGCTCTGGGCTGATGGCTCAGAGCCTGGAGCCTGTTTCCGATTCTGTGTCTCCCTCTCTCTCTGCCCCTCCCCCATTCATGCTCTGTCTCTCTCTGTCTCAAAAATAAATAAAGGTTAAAAAAAAAATTAAAAAAAAAATTAGTTTAAGTATCATTGAGTAAATTTAGCATTAATTTCGTTTTTTTTTTTTAAAGTTTATTTTGAGAGTGTGAGAGAGTGTGAATGGGGTAGGGACAGAGAGAGAGAACCCCAAGCAGGCTCCATGCCATCAGCACAAAGCCCAACACAGGGCTCGATCTCAAGAGTTGGACACTTAATCAACTGAGCCATCCAGGCACCCCTCATTTTATAAATGTATGGCTGGAACCTTGTTCACATAAACAAGTATATGGGAATTGGGGAGAATTTTATTAGAGCAAGGTCACTTAGTTCTTTAAACTGCTTTCGAGTCGCTTGCTGTTTTCCTTCAGGCTGCTACACAAAATACCATAGGGTGGCTTAAATAATAGAATTTCTCACAGTTCTGGAGGCTGAGAAGTTGAAGTTCAGGGTGGCAGCAGGTTTGGTGTCTGGCGAGGAGGCCCTGTTTCCTGGTCAGAGACACTGTCCTCTGGCTTTTGTCCTCATCTGATGAGCAACGAGCAGGAGAGAAGCAGCAAGTACTTAGGGATTCTTTAAGGATGCTCATCTCATTCATGAAAGCTCTACTCCTTTAACCTCATCTAATCCTAATAACCTCTCAAAGACCTCACTTCCTAATCCCAACCATCACATGAGGGAGAATAGAGTTTCCACATAGAAATTTAGCGGGAGGATGGGACACATTTAGTCTATAACATATGCCAAAAATCAGAGTGATCTGTCACTGACACTTTGGTTAGGTCCCCCTTCAATCTTGTTGGAAAGTGGAGACTTGGAAAGGATACATTTATTTATTCCCTTGTCACTGGAGTCATTCATTTTCTAGTTTCTGTGGAGAATGCTGAAAGGCTTTACCTAGGTTTATCAGATAACTAATTATATTCCTCTTCATCACTTAGAGACACTTTGTTGACCTAATGTGCTTAAGGGCAAGTTACTCATTTTCATTTTGCTAATGCACCATTTTTTGTCAAAGTGCCTTTTATTTTACCACATTTGAATATGTATTTTAATCCCAATATGTAAATTTTCATATTTTACATTTATGTTACTATTAGATACTTGAATATAGTTTTATCAAGACTCTGGAACTGCAGATGGAGTACATTCAGTTTGTGGAAGATCTCTGCCATGTTGACCAAGCTACCAGAGCCTCTCTTAATTGGCAGACCACTCAGCTAGGTCAGACTTTGCCTCCATCAGCAAGACTGACTTCATTTTTTTTAATTCAAATAAAATTAATGTGTGTTTGATGACTAATAAAGATTACACATAGTTGTGGTTGTTTTGGGATACACTTCATAATAATTTACTGAAAGCAATCAAAATTAAAGTGATAGAACTCTGACAGTCTGCTTTTATAATAGATTAGAAACCAAGAAAATTAATTAGTGTGCATTCTCATAATGTAATTTGCAATATAATGTTATATGTAGCTTATATAAATTCTTGTCAATAAAGACGATGATAAAGAGCATAGTATTCCTTTGATAAGAATGGGGAGGACAGAACTCAGGGATGCAGCTTTTAGGAATAATTAATCATGTGTAAAAAAAATGATTCCATTAGTTTCATTCCATGATTATCCATGATCATCTTTTCTTATTTTTTCCCAATTTTAAAAGAAGGAAACTTACATACTACTAAAAACTATCAATCCAGCATGTAGTACAGCTAGAAAAATATTAAGGATTAAATGAGGATTGGTGTTACACAGAGTAAATAATTCAGGATGTGATTGATAAGATTTAGTTACCCCTTTGAATCATCCACACAAAAGTCTATGTTGTCACATAAAGTTTGATCCATGATCTTGAAGAATGTGGCAGTCCAGAAAAAAACTTGTTACCTTTTTTTTTTTTTGAACCAAAGACACTGACTCTACCAGTACTGTTGTTGGTTGGAAGGTGCCCTTTTTCACTAACGACACCCCCTAGGGACAGTATAGGGAAGAGCTGACAGTAACTGCTTACACTGAACTATGTGGAAAGGTCCTTTTTCATGTTTAGCCTTTCTTTCCCATGTCTCGTGGAATTCTTGCCTTGGAGTTTGGTATCCTTTGACAGTAGTCAGGGCATGGAGAAAGGGACATTGTTAAATGAAAATTTCACTGTGTCTCCCCATGCCATTCAACATTTATCTGAATGCAGAGCACTCGGTCTGGGCCCGGATTCATAATGACTCATGTCACCCCTTACGGAAATATGTCTAAGGCAGGAAACCCAGCATGCAGGTCCCTTAACACTATCCATGCAAGTACCATTTGAAACATCTTGAGCATATTACCAGTTTGAGGATCACTGCTCCAAACTGAAACCTGAATTGCTTACACTGACTGAAGTTTTAAGAAACTTACTTAACTTGACCCAGAACTTGAGACTTCTAGGTTGCCCCCAGGAGTCTTCAGAGTGACAGTGTTATGCATACACAGCAAGTAGGATGTCAGACAGGAGGAGCAGGAGTTAAACCTTAACATTGTTCAGTTAGATTTTTCAAAATTAAGCCATTAGATGATTAAAGAAATATTACCTAATTAAAGGTGGGGTTTATCCTTTTAGGTAAGGGAAATTTTAAAATGAAAACTTGAAAGGTAAAGTCAATGCTCTGAATGCACAAACTGATATAATATGACTATATAAACTAAATAATATTATTTTACTTATTGTACCAAGAGATGAATTTTGGTTTATTTCCTGTGTTATAGGATATTCACCTTGCAAAACGTTTTTATGACATGGCGGCTGAAGCCAGCCCAGACGCACAGGTACCAGTCTTCCTAGCACTATGCAAACTGGCTGTGGTGTATTTCTTGCAGTACATCCGGGAGACAAACGTAAGTGTTCCGTGCCTCTTTTAATTAAAATATAAGTGATATAAGCTGCTCGGTCCAGAAGTTTTTATTGGAAAAGTTCAGGGAGAAGGGAGGAGTGTCTTCAGGGGTCTGGTGCTTTCCCTTCTGCCCCAGATGAAGGACCAGGAGATCGCATCAGCTGTGGGGTGAACATAGCCACAGAGCAGCATGTTTTCAGGAACCATTTGACAGTAGCTCCAGGTGCTAAAGCAGTTTCCACTGATGCAGGTGTTTTCTGGCTCAGAGAAAACCGAGACCAACCCTTGGCGATTTGAAGGAGTGGTTAACTAAATTCAGTAAACATTAAATCAGGTTACTGCCTGGCAGTGGCTCAGACCAGACCCTTCAAAAGGGAGAAGGAGAACCTGAGAACTTGCCCAGGCTGTTGTACTTCAGATTGTGCTATTAGCAAGAAACATGTTAAAAACACGTCTCGAACTTTGTTCTCTAAAAATACCTTGAACTACTTTAAATAAGCTCATGGTGGAACCTAGACGAGAGGTGGGTTCCCCATTCCTTTCAAAACTGCTGACCTTATTTACCAGTATTTCTGTGTAGGTGCTCTTGGGTTCTCCAGTTTTACATTTTGTTAACTGTACTTCCTTATAATGGATTAACTGGAACAGGATTTAACTCCGAAAGTCCTGAAATGTGTGCAGAAACAAGGGCTACAAAACTTGAATTTACTCCAGACCAGTACAGGATAATGTTTCAGTCTTTCATTAACATCTTTCAGAACAGGTTGATACACCGTTTCATGTTAGATTCCAGAAAGGGCTTTTCCTCCTATGTGATACAGGTGGAAAGGGTGATGTTCCTTTTCGCAGCCCTGTCTGGTGTACTGAGGTCCTCCCCGCATAGGGCTCCGAAGGACTGGAGGTGTTGGACTCCGTCCTCCTGGTTGCTTACACACTTGTAATGGCACCTTTAGAATTGTTTGGTGGCCTGAGCCAGACGCGCCGTACCCTCCACTAGTGGAAACAGTCTTTGTTCCTTTCACTGAAAAGCTAACAGTGTGGCAGCCTGCTGTTTTTCTCTCGGGGCTATTTCAGACCCTTGTCTCTCACAGTTTGTAAGACTAAGAACTGTTAGTTACAGACTAGGATTTAGTCACGCCTTATACCATACTAAGTGTATCCTATCTTTGTTGTTTTTTTAATACAGAAGTATAAAGAAGACAATAAATGCTCCATAAGCCTACCACCTAGATATTCCAACCAAAAGAAAAGAGTTACCAAGTATTGATGGTGAGAAAGTCAGTGCAGAAAAGACAAAAATCCCCTATCACAGGTCCCACCCCAGGAAACACAGTTAATAGTTTCTTGGAATCTTTTTCGAGGAAAATTTAGCACCTGCATCTACAAATCTATATTATGGGGATCTTTTAAATATAATTTTAGTTAAATATAAAGGATTATACCGCATGTTGACTTCCTTCGTAGGTAAGTAGCAGTCAGGAAATTTCAGGAGTAACTTCTCTTAAGTGACACCTAAACAAAGTATTATGGACTAAGAACATAACTTTAAAGTTCAAGTTCAAAAGTGTTAAATATTTAGTGAAATCCTAGTTGAAAAGCATTAGTCATTCAGCTATTAAACGCTTCAATTCCTGCCATCTCCAGCTAGATGAGGGAGGAAGTGAAATAACCCTGCTGTCATGAGAACAGGGCTGCCATCACTACAGATAGGTGACAAGTGCTGAGAGACTGATTGCCTCCCCGTGGCCTTCCATTGTCCCCAGTATTCCTTGCAAATCTTTTCTGTGAAAAGTGGTTGGAAATGCATGCATTCGATTACTGATGGAAAGGAAAGGAACCCGGCTAGACATTCTTTATCATCTACTGTCATGAAATAATAACTCAGTTCCTGAGACACATTATTTTTTGAATTCTTAAAGCCTTTTTATTTAAGCCATTGCAAAACATTCCTAAAACCAATTATTTTAATAAGTTCTGTATTCGTCTCTGATTTGTGATGCAACTTTTTCCTGCTTCCTTCTCTGACATTTTAGTGATCGTAATGATTTTTATATTATTCTCATTAAGATTCGAGATCTGTTCACCCAGCTTGACATGGACCAGCTTTTGGGGCCTGAGTGGGACCTTTACCTCATGACCATCATCGCTTTGCTGTTGGGAACAGTTATAGCTTACCGGCAGAGGCAGCACCAGGACATGCCTCTACCCAGGCCCCCAGGGCCACGGCCAGTGCCACCGCAGCAGGAGGGGCCACCAGAGCAGCAGCCACCACAGTAACAGCCACCGTGTCCAGCCTTGATCAGTGACAACCAAGGAAATTGTTTGCTGAGAACACTTGCATTTGATTTAGGACTTCGGATCAGTGGTCACCTCCTGGAAGAGGCACAAGGAAACATTGAATTCCTAAAGCTGCTTAGAATCTGATGCCTTTATTTTCAGGGATAAGTAACTCTTACCTAAACTGAGTTGAATGTTTGTTTCAGTGCCGTATGGAGTAACAACTCTCAGTGGCTTTACCCCTCCCACCCCCCCATTTTTTTTTCCTGGAAACATGTGAGACGCAATGTCTGCTGTACCCAGCTGTCTTTCTTGGGTCCTTTTGGTCATTCTCTCAATGTGCATAAGTTCTTCTATCAACCACCTTTAAGGTCTTGTGCATCAACACTAAAAACTGATCACTGTAAAAAGGAAAAACCAGT